GTAAAATCAAAGTTTCGAATTTAGGCCTGAAACTTTGTCCACACTAAAGCCTCAATTAGACAAGTTTGTTCATAAAGTTTCACAAGTTTCTGAAAAACTATGTCCGAGATACAAGTATATTAGAATAAAGACGCGTTCTTATGGATATCAGGTTTCACATAAATATTTTGACGGATTCATATCTCGGAGATAATCTTGAGGGTGGATGTGGGTGTGGGTGTGGATTAATAGAGGTTAGATATACACACACCCACACCCACACCACACCCACACCCAATCCGAAAAACTCATATTCGAATAAAATATTTAATATCAATTCATCATCATTATCGTTAAAGAATTTGAATATGAATACATAATATATTTAACTACTTTTCAACGTCTTTACAGACATTTAACTCTATCTATCTTCAATATTGTTAAAAATATTTGCAAAAAAAAATAATATAGAGATTCTTTTATTGTTTTATGTTTTTATTGAAAAATTTTGTTTCATAACGAAAACTATATTTATTGAATCCGTATTCGAATAGTATCAGAAGAATCAGAATCTTTGGTAATCAAATATGTTGATGATAAATTATCGTTTAACCATTGTATAATTTGGATGTTTTCAGTGATGGAGACTTCCTCTTCACAACGAACATTTAACGTCTGAAGATTCGGCATATTTTTCATAAGAATAACAATACAATGACGATTTTGAACATTAATAGAACATGTTTCGCATCGATTAGCTAATGATGAACGAGAAAATAATAAACATTCTATCTCATCCAAAGAATAATTCAATTCAATAAAATCAAGAATAGGAATTGATGAATTTGTACATTTAAAGAATGATAATTGAGGTGATCGTAATGATGGATCTTGTTTAATATGTAAAGAACACAAATGAGTTGTTTGATTTAATATATTTTGTAATTCTGATTGATATATATCAGTAAATAATATGATATTTAATGTATATAAATGATTAAGATTAGGAATAATAGACCAAAATTGATCAGGAAGTGGAAATTGAATAGTAATAGATCTAATATTTGGTAAACAAATATCTAATGGTAATGATTGATCAAAAAAGGTTTCATCGATTGTTTTTATATTGTTATAAAGTATTTGTTGATTATCATTTGGATTTGTTGATTTCCATATGAGAGGAAATTTTTGATCATGATAACAACAATCATAACATGTTGATGTATGCAGATGAATAGTTGTATCAATTATATAACAATGTATAAACCATTGATGTTCTTTAATCCAAAATGAACTTTGAAATGAATTCAATAATCGATTCATATATTCTTCAATATTTCGATTACGATCAATTGTATAACTCATATCAATTTTAAAACTCTTCAATTTAGAAAGATAATTACGAATAAATTGTTCCCATTTATAACCATCAATGATATTGTTAAATAATCTAATAGTTAAATGTTGAAGATTTGATAAGTTTTCCAATAATAAATCCATCATTGATAAGTTACATCGGCGACATATACCAATATTTAAACTGATTAATGTCGAAAGAGAAAGTAAAACATAGTCATGATTAATCTTAGTATCAAGAATAACAATAACGCCTGATAAATATTTTAAATGAGGAGTATATTTCATGAATTGGTCTATTTGATTAAAAGGAATAGGATATCCAGTTAGTTTGAGTGACTCAAGAGTTGATGATATTTTTGTTGGCATAAATAATCTATTAATCCCTGGAGTAAAAATAGTTAAAGAACAATAACGAAGTTTTGGTAAATTCCAAATTGTATCAATAATCAATGAAAAATCAATGAATACTTGTCGTGTGATAACACAACGAATAGTTAAATGTGTAAGATTCAATAAATGTGGTAATTCTTCCATAATTTTTGTTAATGTTTTAGGTGAAGGTACACGCGATACTTTTAAGAATCGTAATTGAGTAAATTGATCAAATGATGAAATATAAGTAAAAAAATGTTCATTAATTTTCAGAGCATAAATACGATTAATAAAATGTGGAATATGATATTGACATATTTTATTCAATTCATTCTTTTGTTCATATGAAAAGTTAAACGAATGGAATGAATATTGTTTATAAATAAGAGACTTTAAACGAGTATTAAGTCCAAAAAACGCACGAAGTATATCAGTGCTATGAAGATATTCGAATAAATAAAGTAAAATTTCATTTGGTAATGATTCAAAATACATTCTATCGTCAATTGATGTGTATATGAACTTTTGCAAGTAATATATATTACACTATCAAGCAATATTTATGATTTGTCTAAAATGTTTAGTCCATCTGATCAGACAGGTCATGTTATATATTGTATCAACTTTTTCTTCATATACTCGAATGATCTAAACAGATATTTAATTATATCTCTAGTCTATTTGAGATCTATTTCTTATCATTACAATAATACCCATTTAAAAACGAACGCTAATAATAGACGTAACATTTAATATACTATGGACCGTACATTTTATCAACATCGGTACTTCAGTGTCTCAACTAAACATCAAACTATGAAATATAGATTATGGCAGCCGAACTCACTCTCACACCCTCATTAACAAGATTAGCTAATGTTTATTGAATCATCTTTTTTCAGAGAGAAGCATGAATTTCCTCACGAATTGTTAATTCCGAAAAAGTCAAATTACATCTTAAAAAACTTGATTACTACTATTCTTTCAAATGAACACAATTGTCTTCACACAAACAACCAAGATGAACAGTAATAAATAGCACGAAGAACCTCATCACGATTTTTGAAACGTGTAAAAAGACAATGATTGAATCAACGAGCCGCATTATCCCCACCCCAATCTTTCACACTGCGGATCCATTTCCAACTTTCTAAATCACCAGTAAAGTACCAATCACGACATTCTCCACAAGTAGCACAACGACGACCGTTACAAGCAAGCTCTTGTTTTTCTAAATACAAATACTACAATAATTACAAATCAATGACGAAAGAGAAGAAGAGTTAATATTTAATTTTATCAATTTAGGATGCTATAATCTATATATGATATTTCCTACGGATCAGAATATAACTTCTAAATAGATTTGTAGCTGTTGAATTGTATCATTAATCATAATTTTATGAAAGTACTGTCAAAAGCTAGTATGTTCTCGGAGATTTAACCGTATTCCTCTTATATTGCTTTATTAGTGGTAAATCCGTGATATTCTCTTTCGTAAGAAGACTTGCTCGTGTTGTTCACTTCCAATTAATCGCATAACTTCGTTCGTTTTTTTGTATAAAAAGCTTTCTAAAGTATAGAGATACGCACAACACTTCCATATTTCTTTGATATCTGCGTTCTTCTTTTCTATCAGCTGGTTTGCTATTTCTTGGGCTTCTTGCTTTTTTCTGATTTTTTTTTCTTCTTCGATCATTAAAACCACTGTATTATCTTTTGAAGGTAATTGTTTTTTTTGTAAGATTCAAATCTTTAACTACTTCTTTTATAAAAGCTGAAATAAAACCGTATTGGCCACCAAACGGAAGATCAGGGGCGACAGGATTGGGAAGAAATCTTTCTTCTCGCAAAACTTCGTCGTCTTTATCCCACATTACTCGTTTAACGGGTCGCTGTTTGCCAGTATCATTGTTTGAGATTTGAAGATTGTGTTTAAAATCAATATGATATTCGTCCAACATAGCATGACTTTCATTAGCTGTGAATGCTTTCTCAATAATCATATTTTCGACATCTGAATAACAATGCCATTCGACTTTTTGTGACTTTGAAAATGGGTTTGCATTCGATTTCCACATCCACTGAACACGAGTGGATGGCTTATCGGACACAGATGCAGTAGTAGCCGTGAATGCTAATTTATAATTGACGGCAACTAGTGTACTCTAAACTATGATAATTCAAAATAACTTTATACCACTGACTTCAACACAGATCTGGACAATTTAACTCAACTAAAAAATGTGATCAGCTGAATTAGATTCATTGGAAGAAAATCTCAAATCATTTTAATGCAACCCAGTGAGCTCCAGGTTACTTTTTCTTAGTTTAGTTCTATTCAATTGCTTGACTTAATTTAATTTTTCAGCTACATTCATTTAAATCATAAGCATTTGAAAACTTTCTTTGAATCAATTCAGTTCAGTTTGGTAAGTCTATTTTAAATGAAAAAGTGAATTGAAACGAATAGGCCATCTTGAGGGTGTGGGTGTAGGTGTGGGTGGGTGTGAGTGTGGGTGTGGGTGTGGGTGTGTGGTGTTGTTGTGGGTTATAAAATAAGCTTATAGCGAACCCACACCCTCAACTTGGCGATAAATATGAACTTATAAATGAGTGTGATGATTTGAGTGACAACAGAGATTACAGTGTCGATTTATATAGGCAACAGCTTGTTTTTCCTCGATTTTTCTGCGACAAACAATGTTTGTATTGTTTTGTTTGCATAAAAAGGCAACCTCGCCACCTAGTTACTATTGAGAACTAATTGGATGCGAGATATAACAGAAAAAGAAAAGAAGACGAACAAAACGCAATCATTAATAGAATTCGAACAAACGCAATGCAAAGAAGCCAACTACATGCATTTTAATTGGTTGTTCTTCTTTCCAACTTTGTCTTATTTACGTCTGCGGAATTATTTCAGTAAGTAACTGCGTAGATGACACTTTTTCAGCGATTTTTCTTTTTTTTTTTCTTTTTCTCTTTCTCATTCATTCATCATCATCTTATTTCGTCAGTGAGGTTCACGCCAATTGTATATTGATCATTCTACAAACACACGATCAATCCTTCAAGAAAAAAATTAAATTTGAGGGTGTGCTTGAATATGGGTATGTTTGTATGGGAATAGAACCATCTATCACCCACACCCAGAAATAAGTGGTCCTCCAAGAAATAATTAGCGAACATTTAATATTGCTGATAATTCCAAGATCATTTTATGTACTTGAACATTTTCAAGAAGATCATTAGATAATTGTGGTTGCGATGATGGATAAAATCCAGAACCCTGAATTTGTTAATAGAAAAAATAAATTCTTCTAATCTTTTATTTTAAATTGTTGGAAAACTAAAATAACTCATTAGTTTAAGAATGTCTTAAGTATACTATTTTTGAAAGAAGTTTCTTGATGGTAAGATAAAAGTGAAAGAAATATCTCATAAAAGTCAATTCAATTTTCACTTAAGCTATAGTGTTTCCGATTATATCTGTTAAATTTTCATCTAAAAAGTAATAGAATGTTTGTAAAATTATTTATTATATCAACTTTTTTTCTTTCATTATTTTCATACCATATTATAAGATTTGATAAAGTCTATTAAAGTACATAACGATTAGTTGAACCGTGTGTCAAATTAATTATAAGATTGACAGACAAAAGATCTTATTGTAAAAAACAATTGTACTAAATGCACATGTATTAGATATTCTCGATTCTAGCACTTATAAAGTTGTAGAAATCAACATTTTAGATTAAATATCTAATTGCTTATACAAAATCTACTTACCATCTAATACATCTGATCTATTTTCTTCTAGTCGAACAAATTCTTCAATAACATGAGAGTTTGGGAGAATGTGGCTGTTGAGGGCTCTCCTTCTCGCACACCCCACACCCTCAAGAACGTCAACAAAATAGTTTTCCCATCATTAAGAACTTGAGAATGGCATTAAAATTATCATGTTTATCAAAAAAACGAAAACGTCTCAATAAAAATCAAATATTATTTGACGATTTAACAAATGAAATTCATTATGAAATATTTGATTATTTAACATATAATGATATAATCAAAACATTTTCTAATTTAAATAATCGTTTGAAACAAATAATTGGAAACTATCCGCATAATATTAATCTTGAAATAGATAAAAATATTCCAAAGTTTATTCGTTCATTAGAAATAACATTAAATTCTCAATTAGATTTATTTAATTCATTAAAAACGAATCAGTTTTTATCACTTTGTTTAATAGCAATATCGAATTTACGTTATAATGAGATCAATCATATATTAAATAGAATTCCATCAACACAATTAGAATATATTTATATTGGAATATGTGTTAATGATCAAAAAGAGGATTTTTCAAAAGTTTTATCTTCATTACAAATACAAATTCTTAATTTAACTCAATATCGATTTTAAATAAATAATTTAAGAAGGAAAAACGATTCGATGAAATAAAATTTGAATATTAGGTTTTTAGCAAGATTTTTGAAGCAGAAGCAAATATAAAATTTAGCGGTGTAAAAACAAGTCTTTAGCAAGAAGAAAAGAAAAAAGAGACATATCGATGTAAAGATATATTAAAAAAGTTTTCTTGATTAATTAGAGTTTTGTTTCAATTTCTAAATATGAAATACCAAAGAGATTATTCAATTTTATTAGTTTGCTAAACATTGACGCTTGTTTAAGAAAATATTTATAAGTTTAGAATGTGTGTCGACACTAATTATATCTTGATAATTATAATTATTGAAATTAGTAACACTAAGCCATTTGTAACCAGGTTGAGATTCATTTGAATAAATGGTTTGTATAGAGAACTTTCCATTTCCATATCCAAGTAATGCATAGATTCTGCATGGCTCAATCAAATTAATAATAACGTCCAAATGATTATCACCGTTAATATCACCTACAAAAGCTGAATGCAAGTTTTGACCAGGTTCTATAATAGTTTTCACTTTCTCATTAACACTAAAACTATTATTGTTATATTGATATATCATATAAGCAAGATCATTCCAATTCTCGTAAATAAACCCAATATCAGATTGATCATCGTTATCAAAATCACCAATAACTATTTTAGATGTTCCAGCATCAATTGTAGTAAAAAACCATTTTGGTGATTGAAATGTTCCATTAGATTGTCCAAAAAATACATAAATATGTGAAGAGGTAGGATCATACACAACAATATCGAAATAACTATCATTATTAACATCACCAAAAACTAATCCTTTTGGATTACATTTTACCCCTACAGATAAGGGAAATTCCGATGAAAAGGTTGCGTTTCCCTTTCCAAACATCACATAAACATTACAATCCTGGCTACTAATCATAACGATATCTACTTTTTTATCATTGTTGAGATCAATCACACTAAATTGTAGTGGACTTTTAGGCATTACCCGAGACAACATATTTTGTGTTTGAAATGTTCCATTTTCAATTCCAAGTAAAATAGTAAAAGTATCATTCATTCCACTCAAGTGCACCAAAATTAAATCAGATCGAGTGTCATTGTTAAAATCAGCAACATGGACATGTTGTAACCCATTAAAACTTTTAAATGAGAATATAATTGGTTCTTGAAATTTTCCGTTACCAATGCCAAATAATAAAGTCATGTTCTGAGTGGAATACGAGTGACAAATGTATATCAGATCAACATTATTATCATTATTAAAATCTGCAGCAACGCTTAAAATCTTTTCAATGCAAGACATATTGATTGATATCAATTCAAATTCCCATTGACAAAATGGTTCTAAGAGAAATAGATATAATCAAATACTATTCGATAGAAATTAACTTGGACATTAAGTTTTGTATAAAATAATTCATTATGTATGATACACAGACATAAATAGTCAGAGGACAAGTTGACAAAAAAAAGCAATTTCCATCCTGTTTTGTTATTTTACAAGACAACACAGCACACTGGATAAGAGTATTTATGCTTCAAATTTATACATTATTTTTATATTAGCAGAAAACAGCTTTCTTTAAGTTTTTCGAGAAACAAGTGGTTAAACTACGATACTAGGAGAGAATGTCGCAGGACGGAATAATGCAATAATCAGATGGTATGATATTTCAAGAGTAGAATATGGATATAACTGAGAAACGAGCATCGTACTTATATCTGCCATTGAAAGACTACACCATCTTATTAATACAACATTTGATCCATATGATATTTTGTTCATACTTCAATTTTTTTGCAACTATATGTTTGCGACATTCTGTCCGATCACTATTCACCTGTGATTTTAATTCAATTACTAACCTGGTGTAGTCGAAGATGTTAATATCGTCGTACTTGTTGTTGTATTCAAACTATTATCAACTGTTACATCCGTTGCCGAAACTATTAAAAAAAACAAAGATTTAATATTGATTTCATCAAATACCTGTGATCATTTTTGAATCAAGATATTTGTTAATAAAACTACATATATTTTCGTTTATCACATTCATCTATATATCAAAACAGCTTTCAAACTACATTTTATTTTACTGTATTTCATTGAAAGTTTTACAATGAATATCAACTGTAAAATTGTATTCTTACCATGTTGAGCATAATAAATCGAAAAAATGATAACACCGACGATCAAAAATATTAGTAATACAATTATCGAAATTGTATTAGAATAACGTCGAATTAGTGAAATAATGATTCTTCTAAAGCAGAGAAATTCAAAATTAAAATAATAAATTAAAAACATCGATGATATATACTCAGATGTTATATTATCGGTTGTTGTAATTTCAACATTTAAAGTTGTGTTATGAATAACAGAACTATCA